TCTCTCTCTCTCTCTCTCTCTCTCTCTCTCTCTCTCTCTCTCTGTCTCTGTCTCTCTCTCTCTCTGCTTCCTGGCTGCCATAGGTGAGCTGCTCTACTCCTCCATTCACCATGCTGTTTTTTTTCTTTTCTTTTTTTTTGGGGGGGGGGCAAAACCGGGGATTTGAACTCAGACCCTTGCGCTTGCCAGGGAAGCACTTATTCTACTGAGCCATCTCCCCACCCCTCACCATGCTGTTTCTACCTCATAACCAGCCAACTGTGGACCAAAATTTCTGAAATGGTGAGCCAAGATAAACTTTCCTTCCTTTAAATTGCAAATGTTAGGTACTCTGTCCCAGCAACAGGAAAATGATTACTCCAATCCCTCCTGATGCTTCCTCACCCTCTTCTTCAAGCTCACCTCTATTCCTTCAGACCTGACTTCCCCTCAGTTTACATCACCCAGCTGTACCAAACACAAATGGGTTTTGAACCTGCACTTTAGAAAACTGGAAGAACAGTGCTCAGAGTACAAGCAGGAAAACGGGAAATTGACCCATCCCTCCTAGCACAGCAGGCAGTTAGCAGGTAAATGGTGAACTGTCTATAAAGAATGGGGTATTACATGAAGTGGATGGTACTACAAAGAAGTACATACTTGCGAGAACTATTTGCTTGTTATTAGCTAACAACAAAAAAAACCCCACTGTAATGCTGTTGGGGAACACCCTGAGCTAGTGTCTATTTTTAGAGTGATACATCCCTAAACTATCTCTGGTGAGAGAACTTCTAAAATTCATCTAAAAGGCAAAAATAGGACAAACACCCTAGAAAGGGTTTTAGTAGGTGGAAGGTTACAAAAAGTTTGGTTTTGATCATAATCCTCAAGTCTAGCTTTCTTGGTACGACAGCTGCCTATGCTTTTTCTTATTTATTCTTTACCAAAGCAAAGAGGCAAAGAAGAGCAAGGAACCAAGAGCAATAACCATCACTCATTAGAGACCAGGATTGGAGAGCACTATATGAGACACACTCCAAGAGAAGTCAGGAAGGAAGGAAGAGGCACATAATTTATTACGGAGAGATATCAGCCTCTAAGCCAAGCAGACAGTGAGTTCAGCAGTGACGCAGTGATAAAAAACACTCCATTACCTGTAGGGGTCTGCGTGTCAGCCTTCCTGCTCTCCTGGGTCCCCTTCTGGGCCCACACGTGGAATGTGTACTCCATGCCTGGCCTCAGGCCCGTCAGGACGGTGCTCCTCTGATCCTTCCCTACTGGAACCTCCTTGGTCTCTCCATCAGCAGAAGTGTAGCTCACCACATACCTATCAATGGGAGCCTGCACGGGGTCCCAGGAGACAGTGACCATATTCTCTGTCACCTGGTCAGTCACCAGATTTTTAGGACTGTCAATGTCTGAAAGAAATAGGTTGGGAAAAGCCTTAGCTCAGAAGCTATGGAAAGCACTCCCACCACCCATCATCCTGATTTTCATCTTCTACAGTTGTTAGCACAGACCAAAGGGATTCCCACCCTGGATCTCTAGTAGTAGTCAAGGGGAAAAGTAGTCTCTGGTTCCCAATTTCAAAGGAGGAACTGTTAGAAACTTGGTACCCTTTCTTGGCTTTTGGCTCCCTAAAACGTGGGAGGAAAAATGCCTTCTTAGAAGCATAAAGCATATCAAGATTGGCTATTAAACGTCTAAAATGACATCAGGATACCTTATTATTTTATCAAGAGATATTTCACTGGTGAGTACTTTCAAGTATTATGACCAACACTGCAGTATGGACCAGATCCTATATCTTGACCATAGATGTTAAATGTATTGCAGTTATTCCACTTTACTTCTCCCTTCTGGTGGCCAAGTGATTTCATGAACCTCATCAGCAACAGAGAAGAGTAGCCCACAGAGAACACTTCTCAAACTCACTGCCAGCCATGCATCTTTAAGATTCTAATTACAGAATCTCTCACCTCAGGCCAAACCTTTCCTACCATACACACTTCATACATTCAAACTTCCATTTCAGTGGGCCGTATCTCTATAGTTACCTGTGGGGGCCTGCGTGTTGGCTTTCTTGCTCTCCCGGTCCCCCTTCTCGGCCCACACGTAGACTCTGTACTCTACACCTGGGCTCAGGTCGAGCAAGTCAGTGCTGGTCTGCTCCTTCGCCACTGGAACCTCTTTGGTCTCTCCGTCAGCAGAGATGTAGCGTACCACATACCTGTCAATTTCAGCCTCCACTGGGTCCCAGGAGACAGTGATTGTATTTTCTGTTACCCGATCAGTCACCAGGTTTGCTGGACTATCAATTTCTTTAGGAAAGATACAAAGGAAGAGGGTAGTTTTTACCACCATAGAGTTCCTAAAAAGCCAGCACAGATACAGCCAAAATTATGACCTCAGTAAATTTCATTCTGGTATATGCCCATGATTTGGATGAATTATGGGTTTAATTAAGCAACTGTTCAAAAATTCCAAGAATGGGATATTCACATTTAATAAGGAGTAGTTTTCAGATGGAGACAGTATATAGAAGAGCTATAAACTTTTCCCACAAGTTGCTTTTGGGTAAAAAGAATTGATCTTCACATACAAACTTCTCCTTTACCCAATATTTACATTACATACTTTCATTCAATCCTTAATTAACTCCTTGGACCTGAAAACAATATTTCAATAAATCTCTGCATGTGTTCTGATATGAGGTATGATATTTTTAAAAATCTAGTGAAAATGCTGTTTAGTACCATCCAATCAGAAGATAGAGATCTTTAATATGAGAATGGGTGCTTCAAACCTTAGTGTGTGACAAGTTTTAACCTGTTCAGTACAGCCAACAAGTCATGAGCTACAGTTGGGAGAAGGTACACTTCAAAGTATGCCATAAATCAGAATCTCAAACAAAGCACTATCATGAAATTGTGCCCATTTCTATTGGGCTTGCACCATCCTACCACTTCCGATCTCAGTTTATTTTAAGAAATGTCATCATGGGAAATGAAACTTGTTTTTATGATTATAATCCTGAGACCAAGATTCAGAATGAAACTCATCCAGTTATTGTGCAAAAAAAGCATATCAATCAAAAGTTCCAAAATCAAGGGGATGTTGATTGTGTTTTCTGGCCATAATGAAATTGTGTGAGCTGAATTTGTACCCAGGGACACTACAGCACACTCTAAAGGGATTTTTTTGGGGGGTACCAGGGATCGAACTCAGGACTTTGTGCTTGCCAGGCAGGTGCTCACGTCACTGAGCTATATCCTCAGCTCAGTATAATAATTCCCAGTATAAGGAATTATTAGAAAATATGAAAAAACATGTGTGCAGAAGAAACAGCCTGGGAAATGGACAAATAGTTCCATCCTCCATCACAACACTGATGTCACTTCTGGTATGGCAGTTTTTGTCTAACAAAACACTACAGTGAGTCCTCATTGACCTCATTCACTGGATCTGGCACTGTGTGACTTCCAGCCCCTCTCTAAATGACCATGTAAAGTAAATGTTTTAAATCAATTCAGGACAATGAGGCAGCCACACACACGCAACTAAAGACCCTAATGACAGAGGACTTCTATGTAAGGACACAATGGAGGCTTTTATAGGTGAATGGAGGCAACCCGAGACCACACTCATAAGTGAAATAAGCCAGACACTCCTGTGTAAACATTGCATTGTCTCCCTAGTGTGAGAAGTATAAAGAATAAAGAGTAAAAGAGTAAATAAGATCCAAAATGCATAGTAAGATGGGAAGAAACTAAGAAAGGAAAGAACAACTGGGATAGGGGAATGGACAAGCAAAGCCATATGATGGTTAAGATAGTTATAGTACTAATTTCTCTTAGTTCATTGAAAAGAAAGGTTTGTGTTAATAGTTTAGACAATAAAATGCTGATATTTGTACTCTGAGTAATTTAAAGATAACAATATGCAGTGTATTAGCTATTGTTACCCTCCTGTTATCTTGTTTTCAAATTTTGTGGGGTTTTCTCTTTAAAATGAAAAACAAGGGGGCTGGGGAGATAGCTCAGTGGAATAAGCACTTGCCTGGCAAGCGCAAGGGCCTGAGTTCAATCCCCAGTTCCTCAAAAAAGAAAAGAGAGAGAGAGAGAGAGAGAGAGAGAGAGAGAGAGAGACAGACAGACAGACAGACAGACAGACAGACAGACAGACAGACAGACAAACAAGAAGACTTCCATAGCTGCTTCAGAAAATGGCGAGAATGACAGGCTAGGTATGTCTGAAGTGGGGGAGAGCACTGAAGGAGATCCAGGACAAAACTCTTTTACTATAATAATTTTGTTTCTGGTTTAAGCATTTTCCCTATGTTTTGGTCACACTTCACATTTCTTCTAAAAAGAAAATACCCTGTGAGTAAGAGCTGTCAGTTCTTTCCATATAAGAACTTTATGTCTGTTTTTAGAGATCTGGGAGAGTTTTAAATTGATGTTTTCTGAGATCTACACCAATAAAGATAAATCCTACTTGTGGACTCTAGGTTTCTGTGTGACTTGACTGGGTTAGAGCCTGGTCTCTGCCATGTACTGCTTGCCTATGTGTAGCAGATTATGTAATTTAAGTCTGTTTCTTCCTTCACAAAGAAGGAACTGTCACTACCTACCTCAGAGGCTATGGTGAGTACTAAAGGAGATAGTGCATTGTAAATGTTTATATGAGTCGTTAGTGTAACGACATTTGGCACATGTGATGACAGTATTCTCAAAGCATAAACCCTGGGAGGACAGAAAATAATTCAGATCATTTAGTATATAGTGACAAAATGATATATCATTATTACCCTGTTTCAAAGACCAACTCTGACAGAACCTGAGCTTTCTGGAAAAGCAAATGTGCTCCCAACTTTCATTCGCTGCCAAGGGCGGCCCAGTCTGGTGGCAGACACAGCCAAGGGGGAGGCCAGCCTTCAGGATCACAGAGTCCAGAGTACACCACAAACTTCTGTGATGCAGGGACAAGAGGCTCAGCTCCTGAGGCTCTGAGTTGGTTTCAGTGCTCCAGCCTCATCCTTCTCTCTTGAACAATTTCCCAGACCCGCGTGCCACAAAAAGCACTCACAATTCTCTCACCTGCCGTATTCTCACACCTGTGTGTTTCCTCTGTTCACACTATCCTTCTAGGTTCCAGCCACTTGTCCCCTCCTCCCACAGCCCGACATGACCTCTCTCACACCTCAGCTATTTGTTGCTACCTCTTTCCTCTAGGTTCCCACGGCCACAGGAATATCTATTTCCTTTGAACATACCTTAGCATACTTCATATTTCTTTACTAGTCTTCTCTCCCCAGAGGACTGTGAACACTCTGAAGACACAGGCATGAACTCTGCTTCATATCTTTCTTTCCCCAGAGTCTAGCTCCATGCCCAAACCCCTCCCCCAGCAGCAACACCACATCCTTAATGGTGGGGTGGTGCCCCAAAAGAAGGAAGACTCTTCTCACTTACACTCTCTGTTGTCTTAGAAATTCTGATCCAAGTGCTCTTTCTTTGCACAATGCTAAACTGAAAGTTGTGTATAATATAAAACAGAAGGTGGCTAAAATCAGTCACTGTGGATCATTCTTTCACTCATTCACCGAAACAAGACCTCACTCAGTCTAAGGTACCTAGGCTGGGCTTAAACTTGCAGGTCCTCTGCCTCAGCCTCCAAGATTGCTTGGATTACACTTCAACTTTTTATAAATAATGTCTTACTGGAACCTACTCATCCCAGTTCATTTACATGGTACTTGTCTGTGGCTATTTTCAGGCTTTCTTGGCAGAGCTGAGTAGCTGCAAGTGAAACGTTTCTGGTCCCGAAAGCTAAGAATGTTTACTCTCTAGTCCTCTACAGAAGTTTACTGATTCTGATTTTAAACAAATTTAGGTCTTATCATTCTCACTGTCAATTTTTGTCCTTGTATGGAGAAGAGATCAATTCTTTGAATCCCACTGGGACTCAGGAGTCACAAAATATTACAAAGACCAAATGCTGATTGCCAGTCTAAGAAATAATCATTGCTGTCCCTTCCATAGCACTTGCTGTGTGTCAGGGACTTTATATGAATCAATTCCTATAACCCTCCCCAAAGCCCTCTGATGTAGACACACTTGTGTACTACTTCCCAGATAAGAAACTGAAGAACAGAGGTGAAGTAACTTGCCCAAAGCTACTCAGCTAGCAAATGGCAGAAACAGAATTAAAATGTGGACAGCTAAGCCTCTCAAACTGTATTCCTAACTATGTGCCTGCTTCTCTGACAGTCTCTATATATTCAGTGTCCAGATAATAAATGAGTCCTTTTGCTCTGATTTCCTGTCAAGTGTTTTGGAAACTGCAGCAGGAACCAAGAAGAGGCTGCTCTGAATTCAGGGAAGCATCAGAGGAAACTTAAACTGAAAGAATGCCATCTATGATACCCACGGGCACAAGCTGAGCAAAAGGAGTTGGAGTATTATGGAGACCCTTAAGTTTCTGAAAATGTAAAGGCAAAATCAGTACATTTGGTGACTGTAGACTCAGAGCATACAAACTATTTCCATGGTCTGAAAAAGAGCTCCAGATTATATGCAAAGTGCCCAGGCAGCACTACAAACTGGGATAAGGATTCAAATTCACTGTCCGTATGATGTTTTGAGTTTTCACATTCAAAAAATGAAAATGAGAACATGTTGCTCTAATCTGAAAAAGTTGCATATGGAATTCCAGCCCGAACAAGAATGACCTGTTTCAAATAAAAAGTCTAGTCTCTTCAGTTTTAAGTGAGAGGAAAAAGGAAAATAATCATAATTGTGAGACTGCAAATTGTCTTTGCAGATTTCCCTTATGAACAGAGCTGGTGTCAAGTGCAATGACCTCCTGATCCAAAATCAACCTTCATTGTTCCCTGAGGAAACTCGTCATGTTTCCGTTCTTCCCTTACCTGTGAGGGCCTTGGTGTCAGCTTTCTTGCTTCCCTGGCTGCCCCTCTCAGCCCACACATAGACTTCATACACCTCTCCTGGCTTCAGGCCTGTCAGCGTGGTGCTGCTCCGGTCCTTCGGTACTGCTGTCTCCTTGGTCCCTCCGTCGGGGGAGACATAGCGCACCACATACTTGTCTATGTCGGCCTTCACTGGGTTCCAGGAGACTACTGCAGTATCTTCTGTCACTTGCTTAGTGACCACATCAGTTGGGCCATCAATTTCTTTATAAAAACACACAAAAGTTCGACAAAGCCCTTGGTTGATCATGATCACAGATGCTTTAAGATCTAGCTCATCTGGGCAGCCTCCTTGAATAATCTGTACAACACAAAGTGTTCGCTCCACCATTCATTGACAGGTGGGCATCTGGCCGCTAAGGAAGGGCTCTCTGGGGAACAAAACAGTCCACTCTATTTTCAGATCACTGAACACATTAGAGAAAACTCCTTCGAGGGCAACAACTTCAAAGGAGCCTACCTGACACAGGCAAACAGAAGCCATCTAATGCCTCTTCTAGGAGACCACCCAGCAAGTTTTCAAGAGAATGTATCATTCCCTTCCAAATTTCCTCAAGTCAAAACTACTCACCTCTTTTGTGTATTCCTTCTGTTTTAGTTTCTAGACTTGACAGGTATGTGTGTGCAAAGGTCTTTCCTTTGCTTTTACAAATAAAACTCCCCAAAGCAACAATTCGTTGCACATCATTATGTGCCAGGGTACGGATGGCACTCAGCACCCATGAGTGAATAAAACAGTCGAACTGCCAGAGTGGCATTTATTTCTTAAAAAATGAACCCAGAGCAATATGCTGGCCATACACTAGACACAAGTGTGCTTCCCAGCAACCTATTCATGGCCTTAAAAATCCCTAATCTTTTCCATACATGTTCCTACCCAGAGGTTCTAAACTTATAGCAGTATCTGCTAAGTACCACAACTCGACGTTCTACTTCAGAAAGTCTTGGGTAAGTTCTGGCATCTCTATTTTCAAAATAAACTTTCAGAACTCAAGAAGCTGGGCATGATGGTACATGCCCACAATCCTGGCACTCAGGAGGCTGAAGCAGGAGGGTAGTTGTGAGTTCATGATCAGTCTGTACTACACAGCGAGACCCTGTTTCAAAAAAAAAAAAAAAAAAAGAAAAGAAAAGAAAAGAACTCTCAAGTAACTCATGCATATTAAAAGTTGGGAACCTCCATATTAAGGTATATTATCCCAAGTTTTTCCACATATATTTCCTGGACTTGACATTGATTTGGGTTATATTTTTGTTTCACAGATTCCATTTATAATTTAGTCCTTTTCCATTCCATCTTTCCAGGTCAACTTCCCTGCCCAACTTCTTGCCACTGGAGAGCTTTAGAAGGAAGCTCTGTGAGCACACCCTGCGAAGTCACTGCGTGGTGCACAGAGCCACACTGGGCATTCCACGCAGGCCTCCTGCTCGCAGATCAGCACTTCTCAGCAAAAGGCACTTGGCACAGCTTCCCACTCCCCGACACCTACACATTTTCCTTCCTCCCCATGCTGCTCTTGGTCTCTTGGTCAAGGGCTCTCCAAAAAGAAGACACGGCTTCAAGTGGTCCCATTGTGTACCATCGGCTGCCATGCGCCTTCCTAACACACATCTCTCTCCAATGCAGTGTGTTATTTGTACGTAAAAATAAAGTATGTTTCATTACCAGAGGCAGCGAATATTTCATTTAGTAAATCAACTGTCCACATACTGAGCACATATTAAGTGTTTTGTGCTCTTTCATACATTCTTTTATGGAAAAAATATAAGGCATTTATCAGATTGCCTACACACCAGTTTAGAAAATCAATAAAGGCTACCTGAGACCCACAACTGCACACCAGACCGAGAAACATTAGATAATCTACTTAAGATCACTCACCTAGGTGTCACTGACTTCTCCAAGTTACTGGGCATCCACTTAATGCTGGGAATTCTGTAGTGTCATGAACTGAACTGTGCCCACTATGCTTAGAATATGACCTTATTTAGAAAGTCTTTATAGAGATAATAGAGTTCAAAAGATGTCAGTATGGTGGACCCAGTCCAAAGTGACTGGCATCCCTTGTAAAGGAATAAATGTGGACACAGAGACAAATGTGCACAATCAGGAAAAAGATATAAAGACACACAAAAAAGAGGGCAGACCTGTGGCTTCATGTACCTATGAATCAAGAAGCACTAAAGTTGCCCACTACAGGCACACCACGGGCTAGAAGGTACAAAAAGGCATTCTCCCCTCCAGCCAGCAGAGGGAGCCCTGGGGATAGCTTGATGTCAAACTCTAACCTCCATCTTTTTTAAAAAATAATTTTATTGAGAAACAAATAGCAATGAGACAGTTTCAAAACCGATTAGTAGGACAGTTTCAATAATTAATACATTGCATATTGTTGTCTTCTTAGTGGTTATTCATAGTATAAGATGCAGCCATGAGGGCTGGTGAGATGGCTCAGTGGTCTAAAGCACCTACTTAGAACAAGCTTAGCAAAGCACATGGACCGTGGTTCAATCCCCCAGCACCACATGCCAGCCAGTCCCACCCCTAGGTGGGCTGAGCTGGCCACACACACATACACACACACACACACACATAAATAAATAAATAAAATAAATTTATAAAAAAAAATTTAAAAAGATGCAGACATGATATCCTGTCCATAAAAACTATTAGCACAAATCTTTCTACTCATTGAATTAAGAGAAAGTAGCTGTATATCTATCCTATGTTGAATATACAGATACAAAAATGGCCCTTCATTTGTATCCCCTTTTTTTGCTTAGTTTTTTCAGAGATGTGTATTCCATTGTCATTTAAACATTGTAGCTGTATGAATTCAGCAAAATATTCCAATATAGTCCAGTAGTCCATAATAGTAGTGGGCTATCCATAGGACTGGCAATGTCACAAGTTGTTGACTTGAGCCTTTTACAGCTCAGCTTATTAATATGGCTTTACTTTTCATACTTCATTTTTATACTTTTCTGCTGATTAAGACCAAGATAAAGCAAGACCTGTCTAACAAGAAATGTAACTTTTGTATGTGACAAGGTCAGTCAAGTCCCTGCAGGATTTAGCCTGAGCCCCCTATTACCACAGTTTGTAGATCCACTGTCAGTGTCAGCCATGTGGATGAGTCACGGCCATTGCTTAACCAATTTGCTCTCTGTGAAAGCCTGGGAGAATGTTTTCTCCCCATGTGACTCTCCTTAGGCACACTCTACATCATCGATCACTTTCCTCTTTGGTCCCATAATCCCCTTGATCAGAAAATTTGGGACACAGCTGAGTTATATGATGTTACAGGACAGGTTCTCCTGTGTCCTGAGTCCTCACTGACCTTGAAAGGCTAGGGCCAAAATGTTGGCTGTTTTTGCAGCCCTTCTTTCTCTCTGATTTTTGGTTGTAACCTCCATCTCTGTGAACAAAAATTTGTACTGTCTGAAGCCATCCAGGTTTTGGTACATTGTTAGCACAGCTTTGTGAAACTAATACAGCCAATGAGTAAAGACTCTCTTATGAAGCTTACTTTCTCTTGGGAGGAGAGAACAGTAAACAAGGAATACAGTATTATGAGGACAGGTATGACAAGGTAGAGAGGACAGAAAGACAAACAAGGGCTAGCGGTGGAACCCAGCGAAGGACCATGCGCTTAGTATTCTCTAGAATCAATCACCAGCACCAAAAGGACAAAGAAAATGATAAACTAACAATAGTCATGACTTTAGGCAAGGAATTCAGGAAAGTTCTCCCTCATAGAAGGGATTACATCTGAACAAAGACTGAATGAAATGAGGCAACTAGCCAGGTGTAATTTGGGAGAAATTCATTCGAGGCGGGAGGAGCAATAAGTCCACAGGTCCTGCTTCATCTATTTAGAGGACAGCAGGAGGCCAGAGCACCCGCACAGAATAAGCCAGTGGCTAGAGGCGATGCCAGCAAGTGTGATCCATAATCTGAAACCCAGAAACCACAGGAAATTAGAATTTGGAGAGACAGTGAAGGAGAGAAAATGACCTTGACCTGGTGGTTCTTGAAGACAGACCCTGGGTGCACACCACTGACAGAGTACGCATCAAGGGGGAAAAAAGGAGTGGACAAGCATGATGCAGACACCCACAGCAGGGCCCCTCCAGGGCTGCAGAGGCTCAAGAGGCCTCGAAGAGGTTGCCCTGGAGAAAGCACGCACAGCAGGGAGGACTCCTTCCCCACACTGTCACCCACTCTATTCAAGAAACAATGCTGCATGTGATAGGGAAGGGATGACGGGAGCCCTCCAAAGGCAGTACCTGAATGTGGAGAAAGTAATGATGTCCTGGAAATGGGAAAGTAAGGGTGAGAGAAGAGCGCAAGAGCATCCTAGCAGCCCTGCTCCTGAAGTCCCTGGCCCTCACCCTTCCCACGCAGCCCACATCTATACAGCCCAGAGTGCTGGCATCTCCTCTCCCTGACCCAGAGCAGCGCTTACCCCTACAACTCCCAGGCCCCAGCTCAGGGCACAGCTCAGCAGTGTGGATGCTGCCTCTGTGTGTGAGAGAGGCCCATCCCATCCTCACAGGCAAGCAAAACCAACAGCAGTGAGCCCGGGACCACCTCTCCCTCAGCAGTCCCACAGCACTGCAGTGATGGAGCAAAGCCAGGAAAAGGGCTTTGGGATATGAAAGGCGGGGAGACAAAACAGGTCATCCCAGGCTGAGTATGACAGGAGACATGGAAGCTCAACTCAGGGGGAAACATGACTTCACCAAGCTCACAGAGCCTGCTGGAGGTGGAGCCAGCCTAGAACCCAGGGCTCTCTACATACTTCTCTCCCCTTTCTCTTACTTCCCTAAAAACAACTTAAACCCAAAGGAAGCTTTGCACGAAGCTGGTCTCCTTGACTTTCAGGATAATAATGAAATGCTGAGACACAAGACTAGGGAAAGATGGGGAGATAGCTCAGCGGCATAAGCACCTGCCTGCAGCAAGAAAGGATATGCACATCATTAAATAGTTTTTCCACAGCAGAAGTCTTCAAGGAGCACAGAGGCTGGCCAAATCACAGATAAATCACAGATGAATCACAGCTGTACCTGCAACTACACGACAATGTCTGTCCACCTCAGCCTGATTTCCTCATTTGTCTGCAACTTCCTACCTGCTGGACATTAACAGTTTTGCTAGATCTTTCTGGGAGTTATCCAAGATCAGAGGAGTCCTCTGA